GTTTTGAACATTTTTTCAAATCAAAACGCGGTAAAATTACCAAAATGTTTATCTGGATGTTTATTGAACATGGGAAACAAAAAATATTGAGTAGATTACTCAGAATTTGTTTACTTGGCTTGGGTTCGCCATTTTACATTCTGATTCTGTTAGAATTGGGCTCGTATCGTCAGGAAACTAGCTCCCCTCGCCCCAAAAACCGCTTAAAGTGAGTCGTAAGCGAGCGCGAATGGGCAGGAGGACACAAACGCATTTTTGGCAGATGCAGCCCTTTCTTTGCAAGAAAAATAATTACACATTCCAAAAGCAAGTCGGACTTTGCTGTAAATTTCCTGGAAAATGGAAAATTTGTCCTATACGTATTCTCGCACGATTAGGGCGCTTTGCGCAGGTGCACCATCCTGTTGAAACTTAACAGTTTCCAACTTTTGTTTTTTTATGTGTGCCATATATCGTTGTATTCGTAAATTCAATACAATGTGTACTTTTTTTACGGGCCATATAAAAAAATTAAGCTGATGATCATTTCTCCGAAACGAAACGTTGTATTGAAAATCCCTTAATGTCATTTTGTAGAGCTCAAAAACTGACAATGAGAAAGTGTTTTTTTATTTCTTGGTATGTGTTCAAATAACATTAGAAAAAAATAATAATGAAATTGGGAAATTTCGGTTTTTCTGGCATATCTTCGGAAGTAATCGGAATTTTGTGGTTTTCTTTAAAACATGATCATATCTGTTTAATTGCGCGTCTTTTCTTTAATTTGGCCATCGTCGGATCTTCTATGGTTTCGGAGATTCCCATGGTATTCACTCTTATCTTAGACACGGTGTGTAATGTTAGGCCGTATAACAAAAATGCCTTCTAATGGCTCCTACCGAGATAACACGAATAAAGGTGTCTGTCTACTATAACGTATCATTCCAGGACCGTAATAGGAACGTGTAATGAAAAAAAATATTGCTTGTATCGAAAAGTATGAGACTATGCCCATTAGACCGTTTGTCACCGACGTGCTGGTGGGCATAGTAGTCTCTGTAGGGTTACTTTCCGTTGTTACGTGCATGGTACGATGCAAAGTGCAAACAATAGCACACTTTTTTAATTCTTAAAAAATTCATTAAAGATACTGTAAAATGCAGACACAATCAAATTCAAGACGGAGATGAATTGCAACTTTTTTTAATTAAATACATAAACTTTAACAAATATAGCTAACGAACACCTGGGTCACTGAAAATTTAATCATTTCTTCCTTGGGTGATGATAAACATAATACTGAAAATAGAATTGGAAAATTCGAAACCGTTCGCGAGTTATCATGTACAAGACGGACGGACAGAAAGTCTAAACTCATGAACCCGCTTAGGAGCTCGTGAATAAGTAGTTTAATTAAGAACCACAGGTGATTTCTCCCAAACTCGCTGACGGCGGACTTGGGCCTTCTCCTGAAGTCTTCGAAATTCGGCGCGGTACAACGGACCCTAAGAACGGTGAAGGGCGTGCGTACGCCAGGAACGGTTTTTCAGAATTATGTCTTGTAACCAGCTGGGGAGGAGGTCTGTCTCTGCGCCCTCGAACTGACCCCGGGGTTTCGTAGAACAGCCTTGTCGGGTTTCCCAAACGTCGCTTTGAGATGCGCATTTCCGATAACGTCGAGTTCCAGGAGGGTGCTGTGATGTTCCTAATTCAGCTCTTCGATAGATATTAAGACGGTGATAACTCTATTGCGTTTCCTCTTCCTACGTCGATAGTGGGTGGGCTTGGTTTGAAATCGTGAGGTCTTTCACGTTGTCATCTTCTTCTGTTACGGTTACTACAGTCTCGTTCGTTAGCTTATCCAGGTCTTCAGGCTTGAGGAGAATAAATCACTGGTGTGCATAGGCAAAAATGACCCTGTTTTCTGACGGGCCGTTATAGCCCGCAATTTTTTTATGAAAAGTCTTTATGGTCATAGGCAACTGATGAGTTGAAATTATAGGATTTTACACATCAACCTAAATTAAGAAGTAATCCATTGTTATTAAGTATACATTTCACACAATTAATAATCATTTGAAGGCCATATTCAAATGTGGAGAAAAATGTGATTTTAAATTATAATTTGAGCGTGTTTCATTATTAACGCGCATTACCATGTCGACAGCAAATTCCTTGAATAATCCATTTATCTTTAAAATACGAGGACAGGATGAAGTCGCGTTGTGCTTGTATGCGAATTTGCTGATCAGTGTATTTGCCCAATACTGGCGAAAGTGTTCCTGGACCGGTTCCGTAATGCGTATTGTATCTTCAACTTGGGCAACAGTCAATCACGCCAAGAGCCGAAACAATTTTTTTAATTAGGTTTTTTTGTTATCAATTGCCAGCAACATATTGATTGTCTTTCTTTTGTTTGTAATTTTACTTAGTGTTATTGTTGATTTTTTCATGTATCAACAATATATTAAATTACATTGAATGGTCCACGTTTTGTTTCTCTGTTATTAATCTTTTTCATTTTTTCAAAATATATAATAATACACACCGTGTTTAAAAAAAAAACATCTAATAACAAAAATATTATTTATTCAAATTAATAACTAACATATTACACATGTTTGTAGTTTTAGTTAATTTTTATGTTTTTGTTCTTCTTTTTCCTTTTTAATTTTATTTAAAAATATATAAAAACACACAGGATGTTCTATATACACCACCACTCTCTTTTTCATCGTTCGTTAAGAAAGTGGGAGCACCCTTTAGTCTTCGCGAACCCTGGTGACAATATCTGACTTTTTCCAAACTTTCTGCACTGGGAATGAAATATCCTTTGATCGTTTCCACACGCTAACCCTTGCAACATAAAAATGTCATGCCACAAACGAGCGCCTAACGTCTCGCGTTAGACAATTGTGTTTGGACCCCAGAAATCAACTCTCGATGGCAGACAGATATCAAATCTTGTTCTGGGATGGACCTCCAGTGCTAGTATCTCATATTTGTGAACAAACATAAACTATAAGACTATCATCACAAATGAAATTTCTTCTGATAAGACAGGAGAGATTACTATATAGTTTGTATAATGAAACAAAAAAGAAAATAGAAAAATGCTCTAATGAATGTATGTTTGTTTAGTAGTATGTACCATGTCTTGTATGAAAAAACTGTCTATATAAAGTGCCGTTTGTAAAAAAATATCTCCATAATTATAACAAGGAAAAAGGTTTTCGCCGTAAGACGAGTAACGAGGCGCATTTTCCATGCATTGGTCAGTACCTACTTCCCAAAGGGCCATAGCTATGTGAGGTGGTTTTCTTCACTAGAAGCATCTATGGTTAAAATTTTAAAGAAATCGATATAAAGTGGCCATTGCGCAGTATGCGCATGCGCACATCTGATTTTCACTATATGCAATGTTTGCCTTAACTAGAAGCATCTAAAGTTAAGATTTCAAAAAATATCTCCAGATAAGAAAGTTGGCATTGCGCACATCTGATATTTACTATACCCATGCGATATGTTTGCCTTTACTAGATGCATCATCTGTGGTTAAAATTTGAACAAAATATATCAATAAATAAGAAAGTTGACTTTGCGTATGCGCACATTTATCGCCAAGATTTCTCTTGGCTCAGATATTAAAGGTATATAAGCTACCGAATTCAAAAAGAACGAACTCCAACATGTGTTAGAAAATGCGCCAAAAATACTTAAAATCTAAGAATTCATTTCTGCGTTAATTTCTTGCTCGATTTCCAACAAGTTGGGTGCGCGATTGCAGCCACTATCTCTGTCCGTCGGTCCGAAGAGTACTCCTACAGTTTCCGAGATATTGATTTCTTTTGTTTGTAGTTTATGTGGAGCAAGAAAAATCTTTGGCGCAACTCAATGTCAAGTTACTTACTTGTGAAGATATTTTTTTAAATGTTAACCATATCTGCTTCTAATACAAACAAATGTAGCGCATATAGTGAACATAAAATTCGCACATGCGCGAGCTAGATATTGCCAACCTTCTTATTTGTGGAGATATTTCTTTGAATTTGATGCTTCTGATAAAATCAAATGTAGCGCCTATGGCTAAACTCATACACGCACGCGTGCAGCGTCAAATTTCATATTTATGAAGATATTCCTTTGAAATATTAACCGCGCTTTAACCATACCTTTTGCCTTTGGTAAGTACAGATCTATGGCATATAAAATATGCAAAACTCGACCTAGAGCGAATACCTTTTTTCTTGTTTTATTTATTGATGAAGTATTGATTTTTGATACTTTTTTAATCGTGTAAAAATTCAATATGGCAATCAATCAAAAGAAATTCATATGTCGATAACTGCCATCTTGAATTTCATTTTTCCCTCCTGTTTCTCAAAAGTATTCATATGGAAACAAGTGCTGCCGACCTAAAATTTGAGTCGAATATCCCGAATATTGAGCACAACTTATAAGTAATATCGTCTGACCTTTGAAATAGTACTGTAAGAAAGACTGACCAAGACAAGGGAAAACATTGACACTTAAATAAAAACAGTTCGTTGTACCTATATAAACAGATTGACCACCATCAGTTATTGATAGAGAAACACTGAGAAGTTATCAAAAACAACAGAATTGTTGTGGTAATGTGGAACTAAACAGACCACAACAGTATTTTTAGAAGATTGTTCTTGTTATTTCTCTTCTTTATTTCACACATATCATTATAGAAGGTAAGAACACAAGAAATAATGAGGTACATAAAATTACATTCAAAATTGAATCATTGGATTTCATAAGTACTATTTTTTGCACTTGTTTTGTTTACACAACCTCATTCCAGTCCAATGCTATTGTCTAACGCGGGTATGATGGACTTATCACAATATGCAGCTGATAAGACAGAAATGAAACAAAGACCACCTTCACTAGTTGCAACTTTGAAGTTGACATTTAGTGTAAATTTTTGAAAGGATTGATTCACTCAGTACCATTTGGCATTAAATGATTTCAATATCTATTTTCGTTTTCAGGAAATATGTCACCAGAACGTTCTTCGTCGCCAGAAGAAGAACAAATTGTAACACCAAAAATGTCAGTGCCAGCAAGCCCTGTAGCAGGTACTCCGGCAAGAGAAGCAGAATCACCCATAGCTTTGTTGCTAGCGGTGGCTCAAGGTCAATGTAATCGACCGACGGACGATGACCTGACAAGCCTTTCATGGTTGCACGAAAGAGATGTACTTAAAGGTAGGTTCTGGACAGCTGTGACCCACTTTCAGCGCTTATTTTGCAGGAATAAATCTTGTTAATCCATCACCATCAAACAGTGTTCACACGACACCAGTCAAACCATACAATTTTAATAATAACCATCTATTCTCTGGTCAATCACCCACAAGCGATTTCGTCGACGACTCCTCCATATCAACCATCGAATCCACTAGTAGCTCGTTGAATAGCCCGACGTCAAATCAAAATTGTCAACAGCAAACTGTTTTACAGAGAAATAAACATCCACATAACGTTCCATATAATCCTTTGGTACATTTAACGAGTAAGCCTCCTTATTCCTTTTCTTGTCTCATATTTATGGCAATAGAAGATTCGGAACAAAAAGCTCTACCAGTGAAAGAAATTTATGCTTGGATATTAGATCATTTTCCGTATTTCAGGAATGCTCCCACCGGATGGAAAAATAGCGTGCGGCATAATTTATCATTAAATAAATGCTTCCAAAAAGTCGAAAAGGCACCTGTAAGTCTATTCTGTCGTTTACAATATATTTTTGAGACTCTTCTTTCAGAACTTAGCGAAAGGATCCCTATGGACCGTGGATCCTCAGTTTCGACCAAATCTCCTACAGACCCTAACAAGGTCGCCATTTCATCCTTGCTCAACGCTGGATCCTACTCAGTACTTTAGTAGTAAAACGACTGATAAGAATAGCTCGCCACATTTAGCAAATCCTGAAGTATTTCCATTTTTATCTCGAACATTAGCCTCTAACGAAATTAAGCAAGAATTATCTGATGACTCACTGGATGCAGTCGATGCGGCGGCGGTCATGCTGAGTTTAAAAAATGGACCAAGATATCGACATCGAAAGGACAAGACGGCGTTCCAGGTGTTTACGAATTCGCCTAGCGAAGATCATACGTATAGTGCTTCTGAAAATTTGAACACTTCCAACGATGAGGCATTCGAGAGTGATGACGAAAAGTAAGTGTACTGTTGGGGGGGGTTCAATAACGATTGGCGATTTTTTTAAGCTGATGATCAAATTAGAGCGTTTTAACTATTTCGATGCGGCCAAGAATACGCGGATAGTGGCTGATAACGCGTTATCTGTTTTGAAACTCTATCAAAGTAGACGACCTTGACTTTTGATATATGTACTTACTGTTTGTAATTAACTTTTCAATTACGGTCGCTGCAGTTAGAAGATTTTTTTTATAAAAGTTGGTACAATCAAAACTATGGAAACAGTTTTCACAGATAATCGAGAACTCTTACACAATGGCGTACCTATGTAACATATGTAAGTGTATGACATTGCTAAATTAGTACGTGTATTTGATACTAACAAATGTCATTTCTTTAAAACAAAGGAAACGATTGGGAAGATTATACTTTCTTAAAATCCAACCTCTGAAAAGGCGATCGGAGGAATTTCTGAAAAATAGTTCAAATCCATAATTTACTTGGTTTGCATAAAACCCCCTACCAAGTCACTTCATTCCCCGCGGTTTATTTTGGTTGATATTTCTACTTTAAGCGTAGGGCAGTTAACATGCCAGTGGCGTGTGCTGCAAACCAACAAACTTCTCTTAGACTACAATAGAATTCATCCACTTGGAAGGATTCATTGAAAATTGATAGGAATCCCTCAGGTGCGTGATTACTAAAAAGAAAAAACAATTGCCCCAATAATGTTTGTGTTTAATTTACTAAACATTTTTTGGTGCATTTTTCATCTATAGGCGCTTTCCAATGGTCAATGAGAGTACTACCGAAGCACTACCTAACTGCGTTACCAAATTAATTCTGTGTTCCTTTGGTCTGAAGCTTGATGCTCCACAATCGCTCGTTTTGCATCCCCTGCCCCTTGATACGCCATTGCAATTGGACGGACAGTTGTAGAGCTGAATACACTTGTGAGCTTAGGGCTTTTTTGTTTAATTCAACTGTGAACTGACATTATTCCGTTTGCTAAAAACGGTGTAGTCACAGAGTAGAGCAGGTGCAGAGCACTTAGGGAGTAAATCAACTTCGAATGGTAAGCGCCTAATGTTTGATGTCATGTCTCAACTAAAGGGTTTTTCAATAGTGACTTTGTTTTTTAGTAGGCGTGTGTTTGATTAGAATGACAGGTATGTCATTTGTTTTCTTCACATTTGTACAATGGAAGGTCTACTATGGAGGATAATGAACAAATTTCTCTTGAATCGCATTACGAAATTGGACGCTTTGTCAAAACATTTCATACAATTGTAGATATCTTTGGTCGTCATAATCGTCCATCAGAGGCTGCAATTAAGACTTTAATGGATATGTTTGAGTCATCTGATTCAGTACACAATGTAACATCAATTCTACATATCTGTACCAGTTGCTTAACGGGAAATATTGCATCTGTTAGTGAAAGCGTGGCTGAAGATACAAATTTGTCAATTCCAACCTATCCGCAAATACCACGTGGCGAAAAGGATCGATCTCTGTAAACATGGTCGTAGCCTGACATTATTTTGCCTTCTTAAATTGTAGACTTGATTGCATTCCAATAAAAATTTCAGAAACTGTCTGATGATATATTTATTAATCCCTTAGGATTGCTGGGAATAAAAAAACTGATTTGTAATATTTATGTACTTTATTGCTAAGTATGGTTACACTACTACTGTGTTCGAGGTCACGCTGTAGTTGCTCCTACACCAGCTCTAAATGGAACTGAACTCTGGCGACGCCGATACACCCTTAAAAGGAGAAGAAAGCACACTATTCTTTATTGTTAATTCTGACAATTTTATCTATATTATATGTTTCATTTAAAAAACATTCTCCGTTACTTGTCCATTCGTCATTTTGGGACTACTCAGATAGTTTTCAAGGTTTTTTTTTATTGCATTTGGTAGCTGTTGGCATTAAAAACAACCCCTTTTTTTGGGTTATTTTAAGATGTGAAGACATATGTAAAATAGAGAGGGAATATCCAATTTCTGTTAGTTAGAACTCGGACAGTTCCTGTTTTCAATAGTACAAGTAGAGCAGGTATCTTCATTTCACAAAACATGGGTTACCTAAGCGTCCGCAATTTTTGCCAACTGTTATGCATGACCATTTACTGTCCTCAAGACAAACAGCGCACAACATGAGAGAGGTGAGCCCGGACAGAAATAAACCCATAGATAACAAAATTTATGTATGAATGACATTTTTAGGGAAATTTAAAAAAAAATTCCTCTTATGTGTTCATTTCGTGCATCCGTCTGCCTGTCTGTTCTACTTCCAAGAACGAAAAGAACTATCCCTTTCAAACCTTGGAGAATGGATTTCTACGAGTTTAAGGATAAGTGGTATTGAATATCAGTTGAGTGAAAAGTTTTAAAGCACCAGGAGTCCGAATCAAACAAAATCTCGATCGATCTGTCTGTACTCTTATCTCCTGCCAAACGACTGAACTGATTGGAACCAAATTTTGTACACATATTTTTAGACATAAAAGAGCAGAATCGCAGGTGTGCGGGTGGTATCTGTGCTAGCCACAGCAAATTTTTGAATTTTGTTTTTCCAATTGATAGTCATCTCACTTTATTAACCAATGTTGTTAAAAAACGTCCAGCAGCATTAACTAGTGACATCTGAATGTGAGACTTCAATGTCATTTCACATCAGTATAATTAGATCAGTTGTGAGAGGCGCTGAGAGAGGTTCGACCTTTTATTAATTGTCTATAAGGATTTTATTTTTTTATATGTTAACGCGTGGTATGGTCATGATGAATCCAAGTTTGCCAACTTGAAAGGTTAAATTTTGGTGGCTGAAAAACCCTGAAATTTTGGCAGTTGTTTCAGATTTTCACATAACTTAAAAACACCACAATGTTATATTTCGACTAGAAAATAAAATCAAAAATGGACCATCAAAAACCGACAATTTCTTCCAACTTTGTCGGAAAAAAAGCAACTAGAAAGTTTGTCTCATTCCAACTTTTGACAGCTTATGTGATGAGAACCACACAGATCTTTTTAATAAACGGCATGAGAAAAAACCCAAGATCCCATGTATCAAATAAGCGAGATGATGAAACTCACAAGGAAGAATTTTTTGAACTTGTATGGAAGATGAGTACGGTCAAAAAGGTCCTCAGTTGGATTGAGTAGTTCTTGACGCATGGTACTACAGCGCCCACAAACGCTTTGGAAATCTCGATCTGCAGCTGCATTTGTCAGGAACATGGAAGTAATATACTCATACCTTGAAGATATACCCGAATTACTGAATCAAGTAGAAAAGGAGGATTGCTAAAAAGATGTTAGAACAGTCAAGGCGAGGCTGCTACAAAAATATGATGACAGTGTCTTGGTTGTTGAAAGGGGAAATCGACCTTCTGTTAATAAATGTGGGGTGCAAAATTCTTTCAAACGATGGAAAGTTCCTTTTGTTTGTTTATGCCTTTACCGACTGTGATTCCTCCCCTTTTTGGCCTGAGCAAATCAAAGGTGTGTACCCTTGCGGAGAACACTCTTGACTTAAAAATTTCAAATCTCAAGCACCAAATCCAAAATTCGCCATGATGTCGAGCGAGTTTTTGTGGCACTGTATCGCACTGGGAGTGATTTGATTCATGGAATCGGTGACTTGCACTACAGCACATTTGGGAAAATGAGTAGGAATGGAAAATTTAACCAATAACCAATTAGAGTGAGTTTATCAGGTAAGGAGATCAATGTCACATTGACCTCCTTACCTGATAAACTCACTCTAATTAGTAAATTTAACCTTCCAAAATTGCCTCCAACAATTCTAATTAATGCTCTTTATTGTCAGTTCTAATTCTCTTAATGGATTTCCATCAACTGACCAACATGTCACAAGCGTACTAGACCGGGAGGCAGCGTACATAGTAACTAAACCATAAGCGACAAAAAATTCGACAATACAGGCTGAAAGTACGTTGAAAACTAATAATAAAATCACTAGTCTGCCAGTCGTAAGTGGCAGCATTAACTTGGGGCGGCGCTGAATAGGTGACTTCTTTAGGTGATCAACTAAATTACCAAACTATATAAGGGTCACGGAGAAGATTTGTATCAAGAAATCCCATTTTTTCCATAGTATTCAAATATGCTATGGCAGACGATTTCAAGTGCAGCGTTGGTAGCAAAAGACGCCCTCCAATGTAGGGAAGAACACCCCTGAACTAAACCATAAGGACCGTATAAAAATTATACATAAAAAATTCCTCTTTTTGTCACTACTTTAAAATATATCCTGGCAGACGATATTAAGTGTAGCTTTAATAGTGGCAGGCGTCTTAGAAGTTAAAAAATTTAGTTATAGTAAATCCCAGCGAGTGCGAGCGTGTGAGAGATAAGCGCGCGAGAGCATAACCAACAGAGATAGCGATAGGATACTGACTACTGAGATCTTTCAAACCATTTGATTCTAAACTTCTGATTCACATAGCTCCATCCACTTCAATCAAACGGATTGTAGAAACTCAGACATTTTTCGGTGGCATTCGCTCAAATTGCGATGAACCATACACAAGTCATACATCCGGTAAATGCGTGGGAACCCGGTAACGCGTTACCCTGCGCGTTACACACATCAATACCCAAATTCACGAACATCTCTCGAAGATTTATGAATTTCTGCGTGTTATTGGAAAACAGACCTACTTCCATCTCTACCTTGATGGTAGCGTCAATTTTACATTTCCCAAAGCAATAACAGCAATATCCATATCGGAAGCGCTAATAATGACTTTGCTACTTGTTGGTAGTTACCAAGATGGTAAATTATTCGAGAATCTGCCTCTTAGTGGCTGCATCACAATTCAGTTTTTACCACATCATCTTCCCTTGTCACAAATTTATAGCACTTGTCTTCATATGTGGCAAACACAACTTTCCTTCTAAGTAAAGCACAACAGGTCCTTTTTGCCTATGAACGGTATAAGTAATCTATAAGAGAGGCTTTGAGTTATCATTGCGAAGTGGTTTTATAAAATTTGCAGGCTGCTTCTGAGTGGAAACAGAAATTGAGTAGGATTGTAATCTTTCCTTAAACGGAATTACAAATTTAAGACTCATGTGGCAGGGAGAATACTGCACTTGCATACTACACTGATTCATCAGATTTTCATTATTTGTTAAGTGTGCACTTTGCAGAATTCTTTATTGAGGAGGAGTACAAGGTTGTTAGCAGGTTGCTACTTTCTGATAAGTTACAGCACTTACAACTGAAAAAATTTCAGTACATGATGAAAAAGATTATTTGGGAAAATATATTTCTATTGGTGTACGTATTTTCCTTTGCATCAATAGTAAATGAAAGTCAAAAATACATTTTTTCATGTTAGTGTAGATTCTTCACTTCAAAATATACCGCTAGTTATTGGCTAAATTTTTTCTGATCTACCTGTAGTAACAGATTTGCAACATCTGATTAGAATAATTTTTTAAGGTGTTATAAGAGCCCCGCCTGTAGAAAAATTGACTTCGAAGACGAAGAGCAGAGAAAGATTCAAGAGGGTGCGGAGACGCTACTCAATCTTGCCGGTATATCTACAAGAAAGCGTTACAATTCGCAAACACTAGATTATATAAATAAGCGTAGGCGAGCTAACCAATTTATCGTGCCAACCGCCTCGTACGAGAAGCCGAACCATTTTAGGCCGCGCCTTTTAAGGACTAAAAAAAAAGAGAAGACCTCGGTTAACAATAACCATATTCATAAAGCTTCGATACAGGTAGAAGACGAATGGGTGAAACATAGGAGAGAATTAGAGGATGGGCCAAAAAGGTAATCGTACGTGCGGTACCTTTATTATTAGGAAAATTTAATTGACAATTCATGTTGTTAAATATTATATATTTTATGTTCATATTTATATATCGTGTTATTATGTAAAGGATTGTTTAGTAAGTTACAAATATTTGATAATATTAAATCGCTTCATGTGTCATGTGGACACAAATATGGGAAAACAGATATTGCAACAAAATTAATTAATTGTAGTCGTATTTGTAAAATACATTTTTAATTCTTTTTAGACAGTGCATGCGTTTTTGATATTCTATTGTTATTTATTTTTTAGTGAGTTTACCATCTTCCTTTGTAATTTTACCAAAACTATGTTACTTTTTATGATTGTACCTTAGGTAGTAATCACAATGTATAGTTTTTTATTGTGTATGATGTATATTTATATTATATTATAATTGAGATATCACTACTGTCTGTGGTATAGGTAGTCATTGTCGACAAATTGTGTTGAATATTAATTATTTCTATTTCAATGTTAATTAATTATCGGATAAATTGGAAATTGCCTCGGAAGGAACTATACTGTTTTGTTTGAAATTATCTTGCCTCAAACAAATTAAACTGAAACAAAAAATTGCAGTGGCAACAAATTGTACCTTTACACTAATGAATGTTTCACTTGAATTTTTCACTCATTTACATTAATTCAACGCAGAAATGGATTTAGTGTGTAATACACTAAATTGATAAGTACATACAGTGTTTGAGTGCAGTCCACATATTTTCCAGATCAAACAAGTGCTCAAATGACTGTGCACTGAATGAGTTAGCATCAATTTCGAGTGACACTGCGATTTTTTTAATTTTCTTGCACTGTGGTACCATTAATGAAAAAATTCTAAAGATCAATGTAGAATGAACAGGTTTGATATCTATTTCTATATCTTGTCAAATGTTGTGGTTTTACTATTTATCAAGAAATACACTACATGGATTACTTGTTATCGGCAAATTGGTGCACTTGGTTGAATAGCTTCAACCTCGTTTTGTAATTTTAAGCAATAATTGATTATTATTTATATTAGTGAGAATGATATGAAGCAATTGAAAAATTTTCTTTTTGTTCCTACGTTGAATGTATTCTTTACCTTTTTGCAAAATATCACAATGAATCTGGCATAGAACGAAAACGTCTGCGTCGGAATAGATGTAACTAATATATTTTTTCTATCACTTGTGATAAATTTTGCTCTTCCTATTGTATATAAAGGTTCAGAACAATCATGAATGTTTCATGTGTCTAATCATTTTTTAAATGAGCTATTTTGATAAAATTTAATAGAAGTTGTTCAATTTTAAGGGTTGTGGTTAGAGCAGTGTTGTCAGTCTTCCGTTTTTACTTAAAATTGAACAATGACGTTATCATTTACTTTAGTTTCTTCTAGCAGTTAGCGTTTAGAGTGTGACGATTCTAAATATCTTAATCTATAGCAATACCAGTTTTGCCTGATCTTGTAATAATACTCTGCTTTGCCAAAATCTTGTATTTATTATATTGTAAGTTGAAATTTAAATGTGCCAAATTATTTATGTAACTTGTTGGTGCATATTTCATTATTTTTTAATTGGCATCTGTCTTCCATTTTATACAATTTTTGCTTCATTTTGTTCAATGTAATTTTTTCAAACAAAAATTTTGTTTATTGACGATGAATAATAGCAATAAATACAAAGTTAATGTCGTCTATACCTATAAGTTTGTTGATTTAAATAAAATTGAAAGCATATAATTGTATCTTTATTCATTGCGGTTTTGCCTACACATTCAATTGATGATCGATCATAATAAGTAGGTATATGAGTGACTTTTCAGCTGTGATTGAACAATTCATTAATTAATATTTGTTTTTGTAACACTTAATTTGTGATATGCCCACATTTTTGTGTCCTTGGGTCACAATTCATTCGTTATGTGATACAATTGTACCAACAACAAAAAAGTTTCTCGTATGACGAGTTGCTGCTCTGTGCGGATAATTAATGCGCGATTTTGTAGGCCCTGTTAAATCTACACTGATACCGGGTAAGGCAATATATACCCATAATTGGAAGTGCATATCATTCTAGTTTAAGACAGCGAAACAATTATAATGATATCCTTCCTAGAAACAGAAATATGATTGTGGAAATATAGAAAAACACGTATTTACAATCGTCGTTTTATCTTCAAAGACTTTAAACCTTAAAAGTAATTATCTCCAGTGTTACTAAAAATTAACAAACACCATAATTTAATTGCCTGTAGCATTGACCAGCTTTCATTAAAATTTCGTGGCTCTATGTTAAACGGATCTGGAGTAAAAAAAATAAATAGTGGAGCCGTGCGCACTCAACTCATTCCACTTCAAAATCGGTGTTCTATTTTTTGAACATTTATAATTCGTTTCTATTGGGCCTTCAATGCTTTGATTCTTCAGATCCAATAAAATGTTAGATTCTTCGGATTTCATCGTTTTTTTCGAATTCTTCCCATAGGTAGGGATCTCAATTATTAATTTACATCCATCAGATTCTTTCCATTATTTTGTCTCTTCGAATTCTTGCTTTTTGATTCTTTATACAGGTTTCATTTCAAATATTCAAAACGAACTACCCATTTCATTTCCAATTTTGATTTAAAAAAAAAACAAAAATTACCAAAACACGCCTATACATAATACAGCTGCCACGAAAAAAGGCCATTTCGGGTCGCGCAGATGAAGATGACGTCACGCGGTCGCGGTCGGCAATGATCCAGCGGCATAAGTGATAGAAAAAACGAAGGTATTTGTACTTATGTCATTTTTTTGTTAATGTAATATGTATAATACACATTTCTAAGATATAAATAAATAATCACTAAATTCCTTCCTCCTTCCTAAATGTATTATAATTGTTATGTACCTACTACGCCACTGAAATTTCCGAATTATTTGATAAAGGGCGAGTGCGCATTCGATCTTTCTCAGTGCCAGCTGTACTTAGATAGGTATTGGGAAAGAAGGTACCCGTTCCTTAGTTTTAGCATTAACCCCTTCATTTCCATTTACCCACACTTTAAACTTTTAAAGCAATATGGCGCCACCATCATTATAGAGGCCATAAAATTCATTTTACAAAAATACCTACAAAATTAAATTTGGAAAGTCTGGTTATGAGTTAATTTTAAAAAATCGAGAGACTGATCTAAATGGTCCTGTTCGTTTCATGCACTGCGCATGTCTGAAGCATTTTTCTGTCACTTTGTGTTTCAAAAAAATGTAAGAACCTAATGTTCAACTCTACTGAATTGTACGAAAGCGCCTAAGGGTCACAAAATTATAATCAAATTATTTTTTCCAATATATTGGAAAAAAATTGTGAGTATTGGGGAAACAATTCAATATATTGGAAAAAAATTTAATGTATTGGGAAAAAATTGAATATATTGCGAAAAAATTTAATATATTGGAAAAGAACATATATTATTGTCACAAACTCAACACTTATGACTTTCCCATTTACCATACATTCGCAATTCCCTGAATTTGAATATTTCGTACTTTTTTGCTGTTGCGGTTCATGCAATAATTGCGCGCTAACTTGAATGTGTGACTTTGTCAAACAGTCAGGAGTGCGAAAATCTGGCTTATATTTTGCACCTGTTTTAAACGTAGATACCGTTGTCCGATTATACACGATTTGAGACTGTCAACCTATAAATTAACAAACATCAATGAATTAATCGCCTACTAGATATGCCAAAAAAGCAAACCTATTCTTATTTGTAGACATGTAGATAGAAGATAATCAAGAGTATTGAAAGCTTCCCGTACTACGCGGTTACTATAAAAGCTATCCTTTACGCGATCCTATAGTGGTGTTTACTGTTTACACGACTTTAGTTTACCCTGAGATTCACTTTCACATATCCACGACTAAGGTGCCCTCTATCCGTGACCACTGAACATACATTTTGTATTGAAAGCATAGAGATAATAAGTAATAGCAGTCCATGTACTATGTATAAATGGTCTAAGATTTTGTTCTATTTCGGTGTCACAATGATGATTTTGTACAACTGTTTTCGGCCGAAAACAGTTGTACAAAGACAGTGATTATAGTCGTTTTTTTTTGGTAACTCATCTCTTAAGTTGGCAGTTACTAGTTAGTACAAGTAGGTACTTCGTTGGGTACTTCCATGTTTGAACTTCAAAATGTCAGTCTTACTACGCTGCGAACCTAAAACTTAACGGCATAAAAAGTGTTCCCAACATAAAACATGTTAGTTCTAATGTTCCCTATAGTTTCTGATAATGATTTTTTTTATTAAATTAAAGTACCGAAATAGAAAAAATAGTATGAAAAACGCGTGTTACAATGCTTTATTACAATGCTTCGCGTCACCACTCGTGCCACAATATAGTCGTATTACAATATGTCGCATTGTAACAGTTGTCTTTCAATTTCAATATACTATTCTGCTACCCAGTCAACACGTAACTCTCAGTTACATAACTGAAAGAGCTCTACTAAGTAACATTGATATGTTACAGTTGTAACTGAAATGATATGTAACTGAAAGGGCTCTAAAAGGTAACAAAGCTATGTAACAATTGTAACTGAAATGATATGTAACATAGAGGTTGGAATGTTCTATACCAAACACGTAATAATCACTTACATAACTGAAAGGGCTCTAGAAGGTAACAAAGTTATGTTACAATTGTAATCGAAATGATATGTAACATAGAAGTTGGAATGTTCTATACCAAACACGTAATTCTATTCTATTCTATCAGGGGAGCCTTTACAGGCAGCACTTAGGCTCATCAAAGGCCCATTGTGCTAACCCCCTCTCTAAACAACCAAAGCTTAGAGTCCGTTCCCTTCAATGAAGGATAAGACCCTGTTTAGCCTTAGTTTCCTCACCTCCCTCGGTTCCAAGTAACTGTCACCGAGGAGTTTATGTCTGTCCCTGATCAGAGCGTCACAGTAACAGACTACATGCTCGGTAGTTTCCTCTACCTCGCCACAAAACCTGCACGCACGTAATAATCACTTACATAACTAAAAGGGCTCTAGAAGGTAACAAAGTTATGTTACAATTGTAATCGAAATGATATGTAACATAGAAGTTGGAATGTTCTATACCAAACACGTAAAAATCACTTACACATAACTGAAAGGGCTCTAGAAGGTAACAAAGTTATGTTACAATTGTAATCGAAATGATATGTAACATAGAAGTTGGAATGTTCTATACCAAACACGTAATATAATCACTTACATAACTGAAAGGGCTCTAGAAGGTAACAAAGTTATGTTACAATTGTAACCGAAATGAGATGTAACATAGAAGTTGGAATGTTCTATACCAAACACGTAATAATCACTTATATAACTGACAGGGTTCTAGAAGGTATCAAAGTTATGTTACAATTGTAACCGAAATGATATGTAACATAGTGGTTGAAATTGGCCCAAACCGCTTGAAGCACTGTTAGGGTCTTAGGGAAGTCAAAGTCTCAAAGTGGCCATTCTAATGATGAGCTATAATGGCATATGAAGGTACATCAAGGTTGTTAATACAAAATTTTTTTTCTTATCCATAAAATAGGTACACCATCTTTTGCGCAGTCTCGTACTGTCGTGAGAGTCGTGAGACGCCATTTCTATCTCCTATGTGACACGCTGTTGATGAACGGAATTTTTGTGGTGTTTATCTACGGTTTTTTGTGAGAAGAGGTAAAAACTTGTTTCTTTTTGATGTTAAACCGTTATTTTCTAATACAATTAATTCATATTACCTATTTCGTTAGGTGAAGTATATCTG